CCACAGTGTAGGAGTTTTAACCTTGAGGAGGTGGCAAGTCTAGTGAGAGTTTGTTAAGGATGGTCCTGGGCCTGGCCAAGCCTGAAGGCAGCAGGGAAGTAGACCAGCCTGAAGGAAAGGTTGGAGAGTATGGAGAGAGGTGAGCTATTATGGATAGGAATGGGGCAACCCTCCTAGTTCCCAACTGGAGAATGAGAGATGAGGGCATCAGGGAAGGCTACCTGGAGGAGGTGGGATTTGAGGTGGGCCATAAAGGGGCATTAGAAATTTGCCAGGTGAAGAAGGGGAGGAAGGACATGCTAGGCATCAGGATCGCCTCAGGAAAGGGAAAGCACAGTCTTCCAAAGCAGTCATCTGGTTGTGGAGTGGAGTGAGAGAAGACTTGAATGGAAAGGTGGGGCAGAGCCAGGTTGAGAAGGCCCTGGAAGGATGGGGCACCTAGGAAGATGGCTGATCCTGACGGGATCTAAGTGATCCCTTCAGGCACAAGGGTGATGTGTCTGGGAAGGATGTGAGGGGTGGCCTCAGGCTGGAGCAGACCTTGCCCTGGGGGATGATGGGGAGGACTCGCGCTAGGTTAGCAGCCTTAAGAGGGAAGGGGTGAGGGGAAAGATGCTGCTCAGGTCAGGACAACAGGGCTTGGCTGCCTGGAAGGGAAGGGAGAGGTCTGACAGCAGAGGGAGAGGAAAAACAGCAAGAATCTCAGGGGAGATGGATCCACGGCACTGCCTCAGATAGAAGTAGCCAGGTCAGCTTTAGCTTAACTTTAGCAGGCAATCAGGGGGTGGGGGTGGAGTCAGGAAGACCTGAGTTCAAATCCAGCCTCAGACATCTACTAGCTGAGTAACCCTCGTCAAATCACTTCACCTCATTTTCCTGACAGATTATGGTAGTGTCCAAGACAATTGTGGGACAAATTTAGGCTCAATGTAAGGAAGAGAATGCTGAACTTCCACAACTCAGGAAAGGAAATTGGCTTCTATGTCAAAGCCCCGTGTGGGAGTTGCCAAGCCAAGGGCTGAATGCATGCTGGGCAGCGCATCAGACCAAGGTCCTGTGAGGGCTGATGCTTGTTCTGGTGCAGGTTGGACTGAGCACCTGAGGTAGCATCTGGAGTCCCCGCCAGCTCTGAGGGGTCTCTCCTGGAACTAGGGAGACTGTCACCCCACTGAACTCTGTCCTTGACCCTGGCAGATTGCACTTGGCTCTGGGCCCCACCTTTTAGGAAGCTGGGAAGAATGCAGAGTCATTCCCCAAGCAGGAAAGGGGAGATCTGAGCTGAGTTTGGAAGGAAGCCAGAGGAGCCAAGAGGAGGAGAAAGAGGAGGAGATGGCAAATGGCCGCCAAAAACCCTGTCATTGGCAGATTGGGAACTGGGGAGGCTTAGCCTAAAGAAGGGAGGACTTCCTGGGGGAGATGAGCAAGAATTGATTAAATGCCTGTTCTGTGCTGGGCACTGGGGACACTGAGGCAATGACCAACCGGTCCCTGCCCTCAAGGAGCTTCCATTCCTCCTCCCTGCACCAGAACTTTCCTCTCAGGAGATTGGCCCGAGCTCCCCTCACCTCTGAGCTGCCGGGCATTCGAATTCAAGGATCTGGGCTAGTTTGCTATTTTATACACCCCCTCCCCTGCCATGCACACACAATGAAGTTTCTTTAGCCAATCCCAACACTTCCTGCTGCACCTCATGAAAATGCCTTTGACTGATAAAAGTTATCAGGGCTAGAGTATCTTGTTAGCAGCTATTTTAGGTGTGCCAGGATGATTGATCAATCAGGCTCCCCTTCCCCTAACATAGGTATAGATAAAACACCTGCAATTGGGATGTCAGGGAACTTTGGGAGAGGAAGGCTTCGTGCAGAAGGTGGTGATTCCATGAAAGAGAAGAGAGGAGGGAGTATTTGCCATGCACAGAGGAGAGCCAGTGCAAAGGGAGTGAGACCTAAGATGGCGAGTATTGTGGGAGGAGCAGCAAGGTAGTCAGACTGATTGGACTCGTTCCATTCAACTCCAAAGGGCAGAAGCAGGAATGAGGAGAAGCTAGAAACGTGCAAGTTCTGGGTTTGGGCAGGAAAACTGTCCTCGTGGTTAAACTACTCCAAAGGTGTCAGAAGATATCACACTGAGCTCTGATGACTGACTGACTCATGAGAAATTAGGATTTTTTCACTGATTTAGGTCTCTCTGTTTATAGTGGAATTCATACAGTATCTTGGTAGAAAGACTTCCAAATATTTTACGGATTCTATATTTATTTTCAATAGAATGTATTTTGATCTATGTTAGGCTTTCTTAATAATATTCAGAATGCTAGTGATTTATGTGGATTTATTTTATATATTGCAAGTTAATTGAAAGTATCATTTAACTTTAATTGGCTCATTAAAATCTCTTGACAGACCATCAGATCATCACTAGAAGTGCTTGTTTGCTTTCTTCTTTGCCTCCAGGCCCCCAATTTACTTTCTTTGCCTTAATTCTATAGTTAGCATTTCTAGCACAATGTTAAATAGTATAGTGATAAAGATAATCCCGATCTAATTGGAAAGGTCTCCAATTACACATACTCCATTACACAATGTTTGCTCTTAGATTTTTTTTAATGCTATTTACTAAAATAAGGTCCATTTATGGACTTTAGAAAACTATGTTTTCTAGTCTTTTTAATGAAAGGTTGAAGCTGGTGGTTAGAGGTGACCCTCACTGAAATACACTGAAATACATTGTTGATACATTTAAATATGGCTTTGCATTGTTACCTTGTTAATAAACTGAATAGGCAGCAAAACAAGCTAGTAAATGACTTTCTAAGTGTTGACACACTGGGAACTGCCCAGAAGAGGAATGATAAGTCTGCAAAGGTGGCAGCTTCCTCTTCCCAGCAGGTCTTCAAGTCAAGACTGAATGCTTCCCTGTTGAGGATGGTGTGCAGTTGGAAGTGGGACTGGACCCTTCTGACATGGACGTTTGTCAGTCTGGGAAGAAGGAGAGGCGGCTCCCGAGTTCTACCCATTTCACACCTAGTCTTTGACCTCTTCTACTGCACAATGGTCATCAAAGGGGGTGGGTGAGGGAGAGTGGAAGTGGCGTTCCCTGAGTCTGGGGACACGTCTTCATTGTGTGTATAGCTGCCCTATGGGAAACCCTTCCCTGGGACAGAAGGCAGCCAAGAGATCCTCAGCCTCCCCCTTGAAACCCTTGACCTTGGACTTCACCACCACGACTCAGGTCCTCCTTCCATCCCATTGGGGAGTCTTCCCAGAAGCCCTATCTGGGGGGAAGACTCAGGCAGCCATCTTTCGTTGTTTGGCCTTTGCCACCAGGCCCCTCCACCGGCCTTGCCCCCACCATTTCAGCTCCTCTTTTAACTGTTGTCATTCCCCATTAGAGTGGAAGCTCCTTGAGGGCAGAGACTATCTGTCTCTTCACAGATCTTGGAATCCTCAGCCATGAGCACAGTGACTGGCACACAGGAAGTGCTTTATAAATGCTTCTTGATTGACTGACTAGGCATGACTTGTAGGGAGGGGACAAGGACGTCCCTAGGCTCCATCAGCTCCAAGCTCACTCCTGGTCACCCTGACTTCTCAGTAGAGAAAGTGATCTAACTCGAACTCTCCACATCTTACAGAGAAAGAAGCTTCTGAAGCTCAGGGAGGACAGTGACTTGGCCAAGGTCACCACAGGGAGCTCACAGCTGAGCTGGGACCTGAGAGTCCCCTGACTCCTGCCCCAGGAACTTTTGAAGTAGGCATGTGTAGGTGGCAGAATTCTCTGTGTGAATGTTCAGTGAGGAGGATCAGAGCCCTCTGGGAATACTTTTCTGGGAGAAGAGCCTTGGGTTGGGTTCTTGAAGAAGCTCTGAGGCTCCAGAAATCACCATATCATAGGACTTGGCTTGTGCCTCACCTACAGCTCACAGGGATCGCCTTTCCTCAGCTTGTCTCATGTTAGGAAGGGTCCAGGATGACCTTCCACAGCTCCCAGCTCAGCCCCTCACCTAGAGAACCTGGAACATGGTCTGCATAGGCCCTCCAATAGTGAGACTGACTCAACATGCAAGGAGCCGCAATCTGATGAGGAGAGACAAGAGGGTCACTCAGGCCCCAGAGCACACATCCCAGTGGCCACTCTCCCACTGAGTCCAGCATTGGCCTGCAAGAGCAGGGCACATCCTTCATCCCGGAGGTGCCAACCCGCTTTCCCCCATCAGACCCTCTGGCTCTTGGCACCAACATGCCTGGGAAGGGAGAAGGGCCATGTGGCCATGGGGAAGGGGAAGGCGCCCATAAAGGTTTGCTTGCCGTTTTCCATAGGGAGAAGTGAGAGTCTGGGTAGAAAGAAAAGGACTAAGGGACTGGAGTGGAGAAGACAGGCGTCTTAGGCTAATTTTGTATTTATGGCCAGTTGGAGCTTCAGGTAGTTGGCTAACCATATTCTACCTGGCTACTCTTAGGTAGGCACCTGTCTAGCTGAAGGTAGCCAGAACATTCTTTCCCCACATCGGCTTGAATCAATGTGGGTATAAGTAGTTTCTCCTAAAATGCTGATCACCACTCCTGTGGTCAGTGTGATGGTGAGTCTCTCTGGATCACATTCTGAAACTCTCCATCCCTAGATCTGCACTTGAAGTTATCCAATACTCTAGGATGGGCCAGCATTTGGGCCCCTTGGCTGCAGCCTTCCAGAGCCTAGGGTCTCGGCCATTTTCCAATGAGGATGCTGGAGAGGCTCAAAGAGCAGAGACAGTGCCTCATGGTCACTCTGCCCTGAAAAGTTATCTGAGGAGCCCTACCCCAAAGAGCCCTACCCCTCCAGGAGGAAGGAGCTCCTCCCTCAGGGCTCCCTAGGGGGGCAGCCCCCATCTGGGCCTTTCAGTGCTCATTTGAAGTGTCATTCAAGCTGGCCCCTTGTGCACCAGGGACTCCTCCCTGCACCAGGGGACACAACAGTGGTGCCAGTACACATCTGCTCTCCACCCAAGGAAATGCCATGTGCAGGTTTTTGGTATTTGTTTTTATTTACTACTCTTTGCCTGGAAGGCCAGGCCTCTCTTTTCTTTAATTTACCCAGCAAGGAATTCTGGCTGTAAGAGACTGGGTCAGAGGTCACAGTACAGCGTTCTGTGGAACAATGTACCCACTAGCATTTTTTGATTGTACACAGCAGCAACTGTGCTCCCCTGGAGGACGGAGCCATCGTTGGCATAGACTATGGTCACGTTGGGCTTCTGGGAGAGAATGTTCTGGATGCGAAGCACCTACCAAGGAAGTGAAGCAGATTCATGACCATTTGCACTGAGATCTCACCAAGACCTCATGCTGGTATGTGACTAGTCAGCGACTTTTGCCTTTTGAGAGAGTTCTCAGGGTTCTGTTTCAAGTCCTGGGAACATGCATCTATCTGCTTTTCACCCTCCTTTCATCTCTTGCCTAAGGACTGGAAGGGATGGGGAGCTTGATAAGGCCTGATAATGTACCTGATGATGTTAATCTAGGGTGATCAAAACTTGAGAGACTTGGTGCTGGCCACATATATGTAAAAGAAGAATGAGGTCACATGGGTGGAGAATAATAACCCTGCCTCCCTCACTTACACTTTTTTTCTTGCTCAAATTCACTTGTACACCAAGCTGAAGAAAATATTGGGTGGTGACCCTCCTGGTGGAGGGAATACTTCCCTAGGACATTATTTTCAAGGGGCTATAGGTTGGTCATCAGAAATTAAGCAGTAGTTACAAAGGAATTTCTAACCATAAGTCATAGAGTTTTCTGAAACAACAGACTGTGATTTAGTTCAAGGCTAAAGAGGTTTGAGGAAAGGTTGTGTCTCTGCACAGCTTAGCTTGTTGGCTATTCTGTGCTCCAAGAGAACTTGGTTTTCAGAGATAGAGACTTACCTTTTGGAAAGGAAAATCTGACTACAAGGCTCAGGAAACTGACTTATGGGGAGAGAAACTATTGGGTGCTTGTCTCCTGTCTAATTCTGAGTGTGTAAAGTCCTGTCTGCCTCCTCCAAAGATAAATAAACTTTAGGAGAGGTGGCGGCATTCACTTACAGCCATAGCCAAGTGCCAAGTGGAGTCATGCTTGCTAGCAGCCATGAGATCACCTAGCAATATACCATGTTGCAATGATTCTGAGCTCAGGGGTGGCACTGTCCAACCAGTAGGAAGTAGGCCCAGCAGGAGAAGGGAAATGACATCATGACTTCACTAGAAGACCCTGGTGGCTCTGTAGCATTGGAAGCATGAATTACCTGGGGTGTGACCCCTTTGGGTGTTTCCCTCTCCACCTATTTCCTGGTTCACATGTGAATCCCACATGTATACCTCTCTACATTTCCTAGGCAAATCCAATATCCCAGTGAAGGTGCGTATATTTGGAGAAATGTGTGGCAGGGTTATAGGGGAAATGTTCTATTTATACCAGGTGTCCCCAAAAATCTTTAAGTCTTGTTAGCTTAAAATTGAGATGTGAATTTTTACTATTGCTCTTTCATTAAATGACATTGCTTCAAAATAAATGTATCCCATGGCTGACCAGTAAAAGAAAGCACCTTGGTGTGGGCTCAATTCCTTTACCTAATCATGATCTTTTATTATCCATCTTCCCAATGGCTTACAACCCTTAACTCCATTCTTCATCCTCACCATGCCCTCTTTCCCCACCACTCCTCATTATTTCCCGGGTTATCATCCCTGTCCTGGCTACTCTCTCTTCAATTCTCTTGATGCCTTGGCGAACCAATTCAAATCCACTCTACACCACTCCTTAATCTCAAATCCATCACTCCCTTGTCCTACTGCCAATGGTGCATTGCCAGACCCCAATCTTGAATTATTCTCATCACCTACTTCCTTATCTCCTATTCTCCTATTGCTAAAGGAAATCACAAATCCAAGCTGACTGGGCCCACTACAAATTTATATTATCTAATCTTAATTAGGCCATTATTGTGGTGAAGCAATTTTTCTATATTTCCCAAATAAATCCCTTGCCCAGGCCTTATCCCTTCTCTCTCTCTTCTCTCTCCCCTCTCAGCTGAGGCCCTCACCTCAAAAAACAGAAGATGGGGGCTCCCAAGGAGCTCCCTCTTCTCCCCTTCTCATCTCACATCACTCAGGTGGCTTCTCTCAACTGAGCCTCCTTCACTGGCTTTTGATGAAGAAGTGACCCTTCTCTTGGCCAAGGCCAACCTTCTATGTGCACCCTGGACCCTATGCCCTCCCATCTTCTCCAGCAGGTTGCCCCTTGTCAATTGTTCCCCCTTTCTCTTTTCTTTAATCTCTTCCTTTTAAGCATGTCTCCTCTATTCTTAGAACACCCCCATCTGATGCCACCAACCCCACTAGTTTCATATCCATTGGCTGGCTAAACTTCATGAGAGAGCCATCTACAGTGGGTGCATCCACTTCACCTCCTTTCACCTGATCTGAAACCCCCAGATTCATCATTCAACTAAAACTTCTGTCTGCAAAGTTCCCAGTGACTTCTTGACCACCAAACCTCATGGCTTTTCCCTGACCTCTTTGCAGCCTTCAATACTGTCCATACTCTTGATGTTTCGATACTCTCTTCCTGCTCTCTTCTCCCTAGGGTTATGGCAGACCCCAGTCTCTCCTGGTTTTCCCCCTCCCTGTCTGGCCTCTCCTTCTCTGTCTCCTCTGGGTCATGCCTGCTAATCACAGGAGTCCCTCAAGTTCTGTCCTGGACCTCCTTCTCCTTTCTCTCTAGGCCCTTTCTCTCCAAGGTCTCATCAGTTCCTGCGGAAGCAGATCTTCCTCAGTCTCAGGATCTCTCTAGTCCTCATGCCAGTACCCTTCATTTCTGAGAATGCTTCTGCCCATGAACACAAAGGAAACCATACCTCTGATCCAGGGGGGTCTGCAGGGTCATACATCACCAGCTTCATGCCGTGGGGGTGACATCCAGCCCAAACATCACCCGTGGCAGGGTCAACAGATAAGTTATCAACTAATATGCCCAAATCGAGAACCTTTTAAGTAAAAGGGGTGTCGTGAGGACCCCTTCTCTCCCTCATCCCCTGGCTACCCCTCCCATCTCCCAGAAGGCAAGGCTGGGACTGGCCCGTAGTGACCACCGCTGCCCTCCTCTCTCTCCAGATGGACTTTGCTGCTCAGCAGTGGAGAATGATGTCTCTCCTCCCCCCACATCCCTTCCAGTTGTGGAGTGAGTCCCTGACACTACCTGCAAAAGTCCCACTCCACAGTGTATCCGGGAAGCCACCCTCTGAAGTGCCACAAGGATTGTTACCTTTTCTTGAGTCAGGCTCCAGTTGTCATGTCTTTTCATAACATGGATGCTGTGAGAGGTCACTGCAGCTACATAGACATACCTTCAAAAGAAAGATGTGTTTGCTACAGAAATCCGTGGGAAGGAGAATGAACCCCACCCTCCCCTCCACCTTGTGTTCTGGAGAGAAGGTACAAATATTGATAACAGTCACAATTGCTACTGATATACCCTACAGAAGGCACTAGGTGGTCCCATGGTGCACAGAGCACTGGACCTGGAATCAGGAAGACCTGAGTTTAAATCCAGCTTCAGACACTTACTAGTTGTGTGACTCTGGGCAAGTCACTTCATTGAGGCCTGCCTCAGTTTTCTTAACTGTAAAGTGGGGGTAATAGCACCCCCCCCCCGAGTTGGTGTAAGGATCCAATGAGATTGTATTTGCAAGCCTCTATAAAGGCAGGCAAGCTGTTATCAGAAGGTCACCAGGGAGGAAGCAAGGCTGAGAAGAGAATTTCCTTCCCTTCCTTCCCTTCCTCCTGCCCCCTCCCCAACCCCCATCTCTCACCATGGCTGTAGAGGCTCCTTTCCCCAGCCCACAAGAGTCATAGCACTGGACTCAGCCCATTCCTTTCCTTTATCACGAGCCAGGGAGAAAAGCTACAAAGTGATTTGAAAATTCCTTGAACTGAGGAATAAGAGAGGTACAAGATGGATCTCAGATCCACTGGGGGCTGTTTCAATAGCCTTGGTCCACTGGAGACTCCATTTCTGGGGGGCTTGGGGGATAAAATCCTAACCCCAAATACAGATCTGTGTGAGGGAAAACTCTCCAGTCCCTGCCATTTGCCGATGTAATTCAGGGATCTTTCATGTAAGCGTGTATACGGCAGACAAGTGGCAAAGTAGAGGCTTGAAGCCCTGAGACCAAATTTGGCCTCTGATCTTTGCCAGCAGTGTGACCTGGGCAAGTCATTTCCCCACTGGCCGCCTCAGATTCCTCATCTGTTATGAGGAGAAAATGGGGGAATAAGCATAAAGAGCTTTATAAATGCTAGCTGTTATTATCATTATTAAGAAGTGATGGAGACATAGAGGTAGATGGCATCTCTGTTACTTCCTCTCACTGCTCCTTCTGTCCTCCAGGGCCAAGCTGAACCCCTCTTACCTTCCTCCAGGAGAGCCTTTCAAAGATTCCCAATCATCCCACTGCCCAGGTTATGTATCCACTCTACCTCAAACTGAGCTTACGTGTCTGACTTCCCATTTGTGCCCACCCCCTTGGAATTAGCCCATTTTCTCCTTAGCTGGGTAGGTGCACATTGCAGAATCTTTGTCATAGACTTCACATCACACTGCTCAGGTGGAGACAGGTTTTTCAGTGAGGAAGCATCAGAAGGCTCCTCCACGGTGCCTGGTATTGTAAGCCTCTATAAACCCATCACCATCTGCCTCCCACACTAGGAATCTTCTGTCACTGAAGCCCAAGGAGACTACCAGGTCCCAGCAGAGGACTGTTCCTCTGAAAGCAGAGGGGTCAGTGGAGGGGAGTTTCAAGGGTGTGTACATACTTCCTGTCTGGGGAAACAGTGATTCCATTAGCAAAGCTAAGGCCATTGGCCACCTCTTTGACTTCACCCGGACTGTAATAAATCACGTTTGTCCACTGTAAGTCCAAGTATAGCTCCAGTTGTCTTAAGAAGTAGTTGGTGAAATAATGGTCATTGGTGGCATAGAATTGTTCTGGTCCAAGAACCACGATGTCATTCACACTGCAATGAGGGAAAGGGGATGGGGGATGGGCAGAGAAGGAGAGAAAGTAAATGCAGCATCTGGATCACACTTCAAACTCCATCAAACATTCCAGCAGTAATGAAATAATTTACATATTAAGGTCCCCCAGGAAGATGTAGAATCAATAAACCCTAGGAACTAACTCTACTAGCCCCCATCTCCCTCCCACAACTAAAATAACCTGATAACAGAGAGCACATCAAGAAAAGAGAATACCAAATAATCACAAAAGGGAATCAATTAGAGATTCTCAAAACACAACTTTCACCTTCAACCAAAAGAGTCCACCCTCAGGGAGCCCATCATTTAAGAGACAGAAGTTGAGTTTGGTTTATTCATTAGTTGTAGCAGTCATGGGGGAAAAAAACCCAGAAAACCCAGAAAAATTACTCCCTCCATTAAGTCAGGAAGAGTCAACAAGCATTTATTAAGCACCTACTGTGTGTCATGCACTGGTGAGACCAAGAAGGGCAAAAACATAGGGCCTGTTAATCTAATGGGAGAGCTCATAATCTGATGGAGGAGACAGCATGCCAACAGTCAGATAAACATATGATATGGACAAGATAATGTGGAGGTAATCACAGAGTGAAGTCACTAGCATTAAAGTGAACTGGAAAAAGCTTCTTGCAGAAGGTATGATTTTAGGGGGGACATGAAGGAAGCCAGGGAAGTCAGAAAATGGAAATGAGGGGAGGCATGGTCTGGGTAGAGTATCCAGGTAAATCTCCCTCAGATCTTCTTTGACTGGCATGGCAAATGAACCCAAATAAAGCAGACAGGCTCCACATTCCTGCCTTTTTAAATGCATGTCTGTTCTCAACAAAACCTCAGATTCTCTGTCTCTGTCTCTCCCTCCCTCCTTTCTCCCCTTCTCTTCTCTTCTCTTCTCTTCTCTTCTCTTCTCTTCTCTTCTCTTCTCTTCTCTTCTCTTCTCTTCTCTTCTCTTCTCTTCTCTTCTCTCCCCTTCTCTTCTCTTCTCTTCTCTCCCCTTCTCTCTCTCTCTCTCTCTCTCTCTCTCTCTCTCTCTCTCTCTCTCTATATATATATATATATATATATATATATATATATATATGTACACACACACACATACACATATATAACATATATGTATACACACATATATTAACATTGAGTGGTTGGTCTAAACCATTAGTGGAAATTGAAAAGTGGTGACAGTAATAACATCAGTATAACCCTGCATCAGAAGCTGGCTGTGTGTCAGAATAACCAATGAGATCAAAATGCTGTCCTGGTCACCCACTGGCCACTGAAATAATGAGCTGGAGGCCACCTGGTGGCTTCCAAAGAATAGGAGTTGGGAGCCTGGCTAAGAGGTAAGATCACCTCAGCCAGGAGGTCACATTGCTTTTTGGAGAGTCAGAAACTTAGCTTCCAGGTGGTGTTTCTCTGTTCACCTCTTCCAAGACTTCAAAAGGAACAATGGTGCCCTCCATCCTCACCCCCACCCCAAACCCCTGAACAATGAGGCTAAGCAAAGCAAGGCAGCCTGGGTGAGGTGAGTACCCTTGTCTCCCTAAAGGTATATTCTGCCTCCCAAATCTGGGTGGCTGATTGGGTGAAGGCCACTGTCCTTCATTGCCCACACTTCACTGGAGCTCATGCTCCTTTCTTGCAAGGTGCAGTGAGGCCAAGCGCCACCCTGGACCAAGGTCACCCCAGGTCTGCCCTTCAGTACATGCACTGCCTGCCTCCTCAGGCTGGGTCAGGAAAGCAGCAATCCCTCCACACACAAACATTCTCCTGAGCTCTTCTCTGGCCCTGGACTTCTGGGAGATTATTGCTGGGTGGCCTGTAGGGACAAAGCTAGCAGGGGGCAGCTGACCATGTGATCCTGCATCACTGTGCAGCCTGGGCTGAGATGAGCCACACACCCCCATCTCTCCATCCCCCGAGATTCCCAGTGTCAGATTTGTCTATGTTTTGGTCTACCGTCTCTTGTAGGCTCAACTGTGTGACCCTAAAGGAACAGGGAGGCCAGAAATAAATGGGGAGAATCCCAGGGCATCCCTTGCCATGACAGCCAGAGAAGGAAAGTGGTAAGGACAGAAAGCCCCAAGGCAGGTGCTCCATGACCTCAATACTAGAGGATTGGGGGGAGCTGGGAAGTCGCTGCAACAACACTGGGAAGACAAACAACTTTGAAAGCTGTAAGCACTATGCTCTGTCGAGTGACCTGCCATGATTCCAAGAAATGATGATGAAAACACCTGATCCATCTCCTGATGGATGTGATAGGCTTAGGGGGCAGAGCAAAACAAACACGGTTTTGTAGATGGCCTGACGAGGGGATTTGGTTGGCTTGGCTCTACATATTTGTTGCAAAGAATCTATTTTTCTCTTTTCATTTTTTTCTCCCCAATGGAGCAGAGAGGTGGAAAGGGGGGGGTGGGGAACTCCACTAAAAATGGAAAGGTTGAGAGGAATTCTAGTGAGGAAGGCTGCAGGCACCTCTGAGGTTACTACATTATTCATTTGGCTGTTATTTTGGGACAAGAGAACTCACCTGGGGTGGGACCATCTGGACAGATTTACATCATAAAAACAAAACATGTCGATAAAATGTGTTGTTGCTTTTTTTTTTTTCAAAATCACAGCAGAAGAGGGGTCAGAGGATTGGGAGAAGAAGGGATTTGGGGAGATGGGGCAGGAGGGACTAGATCTGTGACATCACTGGAGTAGAGGACTATGGATGGGGGACCTCCCTGTACTCAAACAGGTCAGCACCGGCTTGGCACTTGTCCATAGATTCCAGAGCTGCCAGAGGCACTGAGAGGGTGACTTGGCCAGGGTCACAGAGCCAGCAGATGTCAGAGGCAGGCCTTAAACCCAGGTCTCCCTGACTCTGAGGCTGGCTTTCCATCCACTCTTCCAGGCTGCTGCTGAAGCCAATCCTGGCTTCATCCTTATCCAGGTTGCACTGCTGACTCACCTTCCCAGAACTTTCTCTACCACACCCTAGGCCAGGTACTTTCTCTTCTCCTTCCCACCTCAGCCCTGTTCAGAATGTAAGCTCCCTGAGGTCAGGGACTGCTTGTATTTATATTCTTAGGGCTTAGTGCCTGACATACAGGAAGTACTTCATAAATGCTTGCTGACTGAATTAAATTTAACTCTCTTAAATTTCAGAAGAGGAAACTGAGGACCAGAAAGATAGAGAGGTCATCAGGAACTGAGTTCAATTTGAAAACCAGGTCCTCTAGCTCCAAGGTGCCAAACAGACAACAGACCCCAGCATGCTGGAGTAAATCGATGGCCAGAGAAACAACGGACATCTTTAGCTAACTGAGGCTGTGCAATCGGTAATCCTCTAGTCAAGGGGGGAACAATGCAGCCCACTGAGATGCCCCAGGCCAAGGAGGAGAAGAGACCTTCCCATACCTTGAAAGCAGCTCATGCGTGATGGTTTTCAGGTAGAACAGAGAATCACCTTCAAACTGAAAGATTTCCACCGTGGATTTCATCTGAGGGTGATTCACCACATACAAGTACACGACATTGTCTGAGGAAGAAAGACAGGAAGGGCCTCAGGAGCAGCTGGCTGAGAACCAGCCCATTCTCACCTCCAGTGTCAGAGCAGAGCAGAGCTCCTGAGCAACTTCCACTCTGCCTAGAGTAATAAGAATCCAATTGTCCTCTGTCTCCTGGGCTGCAGCAGCACCGGCTCCTGCCCCTTTTGCCAGGACTCTGCCCTGTCTGTTCTCCTCCACACTCTTGCTTGGCAAACTCCTGGGTTCAGGACTCATTTCCTGGCTCCCAAACATCCAGCCCGGCATCAGCAGCTGCCTGCTGGACGGTTCCCCTCGGGGACTCCATGAATGCCTCAGACTCAGCGTGACCAAATGAAGCTCGTTACCTTTCCCTCCAAACCCACCCCTCTCCAGAGCTTCCTACTGTTGACTCATTGAACTGATGGTCCACTAAGCCTCCTAGATCTTTTTCAGTTGTGTGCGAGCACAATTTCCCTGCTCGGCACTTGGGAAGTCGAGTTTTTTCCAATTAAAGTGTAAGACCTTTCATGTATCCTTGTTTAGTTCTGCTCACTAGCCTATCAAGAAATGGCTTATAAAGCACTCTTTCCATGGGCCAGGCCTTTGCTAGGGCTCGGGACACAAGTGCAAAGAAGTAGTTAGGTAGTTAGCAAGAATGATTGAGGAAGACCTGAGTACATGATTTTAAAAAGTAAAACTGTTTAGGAACAGGCACAAAGAGTAATTATCCCATGCAAATGAGGTAGGAGCAGAAGAACTGACACAGAGGAATTAGAAGGGGGGGAGGGCTGGTAGTCCTGGAACCCTACTCTCATAGGAAATGAGTTAAAGAAGGAACAATACATACATATGTATGTATGTATGTATGTATGTATGTATGTATGTATGAAATCCTTCTAAAATCAGAAAGAAATCAAAGGCTAAGGGGATAGGGAGGGGGGAGAGGACAAGGGAAGGATCTCTAGAGGGGAGGGTGAGGGAACAGGAAAAGGGTGGTATAGAAGGGTGTTTACGTTAAGGGGAATGGGAGGATAAGGGAGAAATCATTGGGGGGTGGGTAGGTTAAGTAATAGGAGGGCAAGGTAGCGGGTAGAAGTAAAGTAGAGGAGTCAGGAGGGCTAGGAAACAAGAGACACCCACAAACATAAAATAAAGATCAGGAGTAGAATTTATTAGGGAAAAATAGCAGGGGTAGTAATCATGATCTCAGACAGAGTTCAGCTAAAATACACTGAATCATAAGAGAAAAACAGGGAAATGACACTACATGTCAGCCATATTAATCAGTATTGTTTTAGACTATTTAAAACAACTAAACAGCGTAAGGTTGGAATACTGCTGTGGTGCAGGTAATGTGGACTTAGAAAAACATGGGAAGACTCAGACTTATGAAGGAAGAGATTATCAACGCTCAGAGAAACAGAGGGCAAATAAGTATATTATGGTCTTGCATAGATGCATATGAATGCATATGTCTATATATGAGTATGATTATGGATATCTAAGTGTACGTACGTATACTGAGATATGTTATGCAAGTATCTGCATGTTTGTATATGCATGTATATATCCTTTCACATACACGTGCATATGTGTATGTGTTTGTATGCATACATATGTATGTGTATATATCTGTATGTATACATGTGTGCATATAGGTATATGTATCAATATGACTGTATCCATGCTTAATTGTACCTTTGTGGGGGAAGGGGGAAAAAGAACAAAGTAAAAAGTGCTCAGCAGAGAACAAAAGAAAATTTACAAGGAAGCAAAGAAAAGCTGGACAGCTCTGAACAGAATGAGCAGTATTTATGATATAGGCTTTCTTGAAATGGAAAGTTATTGCTGCATATTTGAATACTCTCTTAAGTTCGGCTGTGCACATGGAAATGCTTTTTTTCTTTTGTATTTAAGTTTTAATATTTAAGTTTATAATATATTTCTTTTTCTTTTCTTATTGTACATTTAAATTTTTATATTTAATTTCAAAATAATTTTATTTTATTTATTTATTTTTTGCCGAGGCAATCAGGGTTAAGTGACCCACCCAGGGTCACACAGCTAGTAAGTGCCAAGTGTCTAAGGCCAGATTTGAACTCAGGGCCTCTCGATTGCAAGGCTGGAGCTCTAACCACCACGCCACCCAGCTGCCCCAGTAAATTATTATTATTATTTTTTAAAAGCTCTGTGCTCCCTTTTTTGTGGTCAAAAGTCCATTTACTGCTCTGCCTTTGGGCCAGGGCTGGGCACTGCATCTGCCACCCCAGGATTCGGAGCCATGTCTTAGCAATTCTCTGAGAGCTTCTCCCAAGGTAGAGAGGATTTGTAACAGGCAAAGACCTGAGAATGTTCTCAGGGCAATGTCCTAGATCCTTGAAGGACTGAGTGGCTAAGGGCCACTCCCCAGCCTGCTCTCCTCCTGCCATAACTTCCATGTAAGGCCCACCTCACCCCCTCCAGAGGTGTCCAGAGGAGCCTTACCTTTGTCAATGAAGGTGCTGATCCCATGTGGGTTAAATGACTGCACATCAAACCCATTCCTGATTGGCAGGGCCCTGGCCCTTGGCTCTTTCTCATTCAGGTCCATCAGGAAGATTTCTCCAGGCTTATCAGGTGCTGAACAGGGCATACCTTCATAATTTAGCCCCTTCCAAAACCAGAGAACAGCAAATTCATGTAAAGAAGTGGTGCTTTGAAGGCTTTCCAGAGAGACAAAGGTACTGCAGTGCCCTCTGGCCCCAAGGACCCCAAGCCCATACCCCGCCTACCTGAGCCCCAGATGGGGGGTACGAAGGAGGGAATAAACATTGGTCCTGGGCTGAGCATGCTACAAACATTATCTCATTTGATCCTCACAACAAGCCTGGGAGGTAGGTATTATCACTACCCACATTTTACAGTTGAGTAAACTGAGGCAAATGGGACCTGCCCAGGGTCTGAGGTTAGATCTGAACTCAGGCCTTCCTGACTCCAAGCCCAACACTCTATCCACTGTGGCAAAGTCCATGAGCACCAGTGATAGAGGGAAGGGAAGCAAGAAGAGAAAGGAAGGGGAGGAGGAGAGTCAGAGAGGTGGGGACAAGGAGGGAGAAGGGAATCTGGGAAATGTGGGTGGGATAGAAAGCGCCATGCCAGGAGGGCAGGTCACCCTTTGAATGCCCCCCACCCAGTTTTCTCTTGGTTATCCAGGATAACGTGCTGCCTTCCATCCACCAGGTGGTAAAGGCTCTCTGGCTCAATGGTCTCAGATCCCAAGGTGGTGAATGAAATGTTAAGAGGCATCTGCCCAGATCTGACCTCTCTCTGTGAGTATGTTGGGAAACCAGTGCAACCAAAATCTTCTAGGAAATTCCAGTCTGACCCAGACCCCTCATTGCCTCTTAGATTCACTGGAAGTCCTGCACATTGTCCAGCCCCCCTGGGACTGTGGGGAGCAGAGTCCTGGGCATTTCTGGTCCCAAGGAGCAAACCTGGGGAGAGTAAGGACATGGCTGTCCCCTTGGAGAGCTCACAGCCTAGATGGAGATGTGGTCCATGCAACCCAGGCTGAGTGCAGAGTACTATCAGGAGAGGCTGCAAGGGGTCAGAGGAGGAAGGGCCCCCACAGGCTGGGGGGCTGGTAGAGGCCTTGTGAGGCAGCAGGAGGCTGGGCCACAGGGGCAGCAAAGAGCTAGGGCTGAGGACACTGTGGGAGACAAAAGAGCAGGAAAGGTGAGAGGCAGTTCCCATATCATTGAGTGGAGGGCTGTATGCCAGAGAGAGGGCATTCTGAGGATACTGGGGACCAGGCTGGAGTGCCTCATTCCTTCTCCTCTGCGTCTGACATTGCTGAAGAAGGGTGGTGGCCAGACCACTGAACCTCAGGTACTCAAGGACACGAAGGTGTTGGGATTAGACCCTGAGGCAGCCGGGAGTCTCTGAAGGTTTAGAGAAGAGCAGTACTGAGCACAAAGCAGGCTGTTGGGATGATTCCTTCTCAGCTCTGGGTGAATGGGAGGTGTGAAGAGACAAAAGAAGCCAGGGAACCAATTGGAAGGCTGCTGTCACCACCCAAGAGAGGTTGCCCTGAACTGTGCTGGCCGTGATCCTGAGGACCAAAGGCCCCCAGACTTAGACCAAAAGTAATCTGTGCAAAGTACTTAGCACAGTGTCTGGCACATAGCAGGTGCCCTGTCAATGCTAGTTGTTACCATTACCATTATTTTATTATTATTATAATCATCATCATTGGAGCTGTAAAGGGATATCTCTCAGAGGCCACTTTTGTCTACCTCCCTGTTTTGTCAAACGGAGGAAAGGGGAAAGGAATAAGCATTTATAGAGTACCTACTATGTGCCAGGCCCTTTAGCCTTTTTTTACAGTTGAGGCAACTGACATAAACAGAGGTGAAATGACTTGCCCAGGGCCACACAGCTAGTAAGTGTCTGAGGTGGGATTCAAACTCAGGTCTTGTGTCTCCAGGCCCAGTGCTCTGGGTGCTGTGGCGCCACCTTGCTGCCTTGAGGAAACTGAGGTCCCCAAAGGGCAGGGCAGAGATGGCAAAGGTTTAGGTTCCTGCTGAGTCAGAGGGGGCAGGAGCCTGCTGCCTGTGGCCTTGACTGATTACGCTCCCTTGCCTCTGCCCTTCTGTGTGCCTGGCTGCATGCCCACCCCCTGCAGTGGGGCCTCTCACAGGGGTCCTCAGGAAAGAGCAGTGACTCACAGTGCTGATGAAGGCCAGCCCGCTAGGTAAGATGTCAATGTCCTCGGAGCCATTCTCTGCAGGAGAAGACCAGGGTGAGAGGCGCTGATGACTCAGGAACTTGGGAAATGCACGACCTCTGGGCAATCTCCCCTCCACTGAACGCAAGGTCCTCCCCGGGCTTCAGCAAAATCACTGCCAAACCTCACCTTGGGGCACGTTCTTATTTCTCTGGGACCCCCAGGCTTGAAGGTCAAAGACCTGGGGCCCCGACTGCCTCTTCTGACTGGTGACCAGGTCCCAGAAGCTCTCTGAAGGGTTACATGTATCTCGTCTGACTTTTGCGTCCCTCCCAGCCTGGACCAGATAGATCTCTACACACAGTTGGTGCTTGATAAATGCCTGCCATGTTGTGAAGGGAACACTTTTCAGAATGAATTGTAAACACTCCTTTCTTCAGACCTCCTTCAGACTCCCACAGATGGGTCTGGAGGGGAGAAAGGGGAGGATGGAGACTCAGGCTACTGCCACTCCCTAAACAGGCTAGACCCATATAAACCAACTGCTCCAAACCTGCTCTCATCCTTGAGCTTTACTTGCCTTTGAATATGGGATGGGGGAGGACCATGGAGAGGTCTGGCCTCAGAAAATGGCCAGGAGCCAAGGAGGGAAAACTAGGTGGGAAATCGGTGAGAACCCCATCTAAGCTGAGCCATCAGGGGCACTGGAAGATGAGGCTGGAAGGAGTGCAGTAACAAAAGGCAACAGAGTCAACATGGGGGATTTTCAAATGGGAGAGGAGTGATTTGGGGAAGCCCCTGGTCAGCTGGACCCAGGCTCAGTCATCAGGTTTGTCACTGAGAACAGAGGCATGCTCATTAATCACACAGAATCAACCAATCAACATTTATTAAGTGCCTGCTGTGTGCCAGGCATTGTGCTAAGTGCTAGGGATATAAAAAGAGGCAAAGACAGTCCCTTCCCTCAAGGAGCTTACAGTCTAATGGGACCCAGAACTCTTGACATGGATTTCACTGTGGGCTCTTCCCTCCCTCAGATCTCTCTGTTTCAGCCTAGCAAATTTTGACAAGGTATTTGCTGTGGCAGGCTCAGTTTGGGGTGACAGGTTGGGGAAGGGGCTTGCTGAAAGACACATTCAGTTAATGAGAGAGTAACCACATGCTCCTGGTTGGGCATTGGCCCCTTTCTTTAGGAGATACCCCAGTGGGGTAGATGGAGTAGGGAGAGTGGTGAAGCCACCACCTCCCTTGGACTCTTAGCATCATGGTTTCCCAAAGCTACCTGCCTGGGGGAGGGGGCATGGTCCCACAGAAAGTCAAGTGGGGAAAAGTTGTTGGACCAGACTCAGAGGGCCCAGAGAAGAGAAGCTGATACTTCTGCGTTGCACCACCAGCAGGATGAGGAGTTGCCATTTTCTCTGATCCTTGTGGTGCCTCAAACTTTCCAAGCTTAGACTGTGTGTCCAGGACATGAAGATATCCAACACAGCTCAGGCGTTATTTACTCTTTGAAGAATGTGTAAGGAAAAACAGCTATATTAATAGGCCAAGTCTGTAGTTCAGACAAAGGACAAAGGCTAATTTCCTCATAAAGCAATGCAATGATAATTGTCAAGTCTCCAAATTTCTCTTTCAAGGAAAAACTTGAGCATTTTTCTGTCTATGTGCAGCCTTCTCTTAGGGGAGACCAGAGTGAAGGCTCAGTGTGGACCCATTACTAATGTGGCCGCATCCTGCTTTCCTCTACACGAAAACTGGTGTTAAATACAGAAGTAAAGAAGTGAGCCAAGTATAACTGCCACATGCTGTGCACTTGTCAGAGCCTTGGACAGCGCTCATGAAGTCTGTTAATGAGGAAATGATTAAAAGCTTGAAATTCTATAAGGAAAATTTCCCTCTAGACAAGGAACTACCATGAACGTAAAGGGTATGCAGGGTGGATCACTCCCATTTCTGGTCCTATATAATTTTGACTGTTTTACTATAGTATTTGTGTTCTGTGACTTATTCTGAATATTCATGCATTATCAGAAAAATGCCATTTTCTCTTTTATGTGATAAAAAAGGTCTGCATTCTTAAAAAAAAATTCAATGAAGTAACAGCAGAAAACGTCAGTCCCTAACCCCTAACATGAGGATTCAGCACCTCTCACCATCACCACACTATTGCATTCCCACAAAACTGCTCAAGGATGAGGGACAGATCTCATCTCTGCCCCTTGACCTTTTCCAGTGCCTTGGAAAACAAAAAGGAAGTTTGCTTGTCCTGGGTGGCAGAGCAGCACAGCAGTGGTCTGTGCTGCAACAGAGTTCAGACAGAGGGAACCTCGGCAACACACAGAAAAAGAGCCCAGTATCCATCTGGGTCCATTGTAGCCCCAAAGAAGTCCTTCAGAGCAGAGACAGAGGCCAGGGCAATGTAAATTGCCCAGCATGAGAGGAATCTGAGGCGCTTTGAGATCCAGCCCCTAGGGAAACTGCCATCAAACAGCAGAAAGGGTCACAAAGTAAGTAATATAAGGGGGAAAGACTGAACTTAAGCATCTTTGTAAGAAAACTGGAGAAGAACTGAAGGAAAAACAGATTAACTAACAGGGAGATGCAAATACCAGAAGAAAGTGTGGCTTCTAGATCATATAAAGAAGTCTGGAATTTGTGAATAAGTATTACAAGGCAAAAGAAAATAAATGAGCACCTAATGAGGCAGAGAATTCTATGGGCTCCCAATTGACCACAGAGCAACTTTTCAAGGTGACTTCATTGGGATGCAGCCAATGAGGGGCAGGGGTGGGAAGTAACCCATTACGTGGTTTCCTCTTTTAGTGAATTTGTTTCTTGCTAACCAAGGCTAAGCTTAGTGGTTTCCACCTGTAGAAGGAGCAGAAATGTTGTCAACACTCTGTAACTTTTGATGTCCTAAGGCAAAAGCTTGCCCTGGTTCACTTGCCCATTTCAGTTCATTATTTGCTTCTCATTGACAATGCTAGGTCTTGCAGGATGTGTATGTGATGTACATGGTTATCTAAGGTCTCTGATGAACAGCAAAGCCTTTTGTGGACTGATCAGTGGTTGGTCAGGTTTAAAGGGTCTTCATGGATCCCTTAATGAAATCTACTGTGAACTTCCACCTTGGCTACCCTCAGCCCCGTGTTTGGAGGAGCCCCCACATAGGCAGCATACACTGAGTGGCCCTCTGGGTGATGCTACTGTACTGGGCTCTGTCTATTCAAGGAGAGGTCACTAGTCTTCCAGCAAGTCCTGTGTGGAGGCTGAGAAAGGTAGGGAAGCAAGGAGGAGTGCTCCCTGGGAGATTATAGCCTGGGAGCTCCTGCTGTGAGGCAAAAGGAACAGTTTGGGGGTGCTAATCAGTGAACGCTGTGGCCCACAACCACCTGAGCTTCAAGGGTCACCACCCAGGGGCCCCTCCAAATCCTCACAGAGTCTCTCTTACCTCCTTTCTCTGTCTCTGTCTCTTTTCTCTGTCTCCATCTCTCCCCTCTCCATTCATACTCCCCCCTTCTGGTCTGCCTCTGTTTCTTACTCTTCCTATAGGACAGTTTTACCTCACTTGCTGTTTCACTCACTGTCCTTGTTTTTCTTCCTCTGCCTCCTCCTGTCCCATCCTCAGTCTCTCTTCATCTCATCCTTCATGTGATTCCCTCTTTGCCCCCTCCATTTCCTTTTCTCCCTTCCCTCCATCCAGTGTTTGAGGTTCTCCTCTACCCTTCCTACTCTCCATCCCTCCTGTTCTTCCTTTCTTCAAGGGGCATAGCATAGATAAAGAGTTTGTGTGACAGCAACCAATCGATCCATAAAACATTTATTACACACTTATTGTGTGAGACACTGTGCTAGGCATTGTCTCTGTATTCAGCCTGCCCTCCAGGTACTCATATGTGTACATCCATCCACTCATCCATGCAGTCACCCATCTACCCATTGTTCATGTCTACCTGCCTCTTTATCTCTCCACCTATCCATCCATCCACTTTCCACCTCTCTCTCTCTCCTTACTTACCTATCCACCTATCTGTCCATCATCTATATTTATCTATTTTTTTAGGTGCTAAAACACCATACACACATTATTAACAAGAACTCAAAAGTAGGTTTTTGTTTCTCTAAGAAAAATGACACTCAGAATTGCTTTGTTCTGCATGTACCCTTTCTTTCTTGCTCTGGCAGAGGACTGAATGGACAGCAACTTGAGGCCTTAGGTACTTTGCGGAGGCTGGCACAGAGAAGAAAGCACGGCGTCTGTCCTGGACACAGCCCTGCCTGCCTAGGAAGCCAGAAAAGCTGGGTTTCAGTCTTGCTTTGCCACTGACTTCCTCATGACTGTGGGAGAGCCTTGCTGTGAATGCCTGGGCTGCCTGCCTACCCCTTCTGGGCAGCATGTGCCGCTTCCCAGACCTGGGCAAGCAAGACAAAAACAGGACAGCCCCTACCCTCCTAATATTTGGGAGTGTACAATGTATTGGTGCTGACCCTCCCTCCTCCTTATACCAAAGGCAGTGTGCCCCCAGCTGCCTAGGCTAGGGCTCTGCAACAAAGCAAGCTAGAGCTCTGGGAAGTGGGACGAGGGAGAAGCCACTGGGGTCACCTGGGGGGAGGGCTTTCTTCATTCTAAAGACCCTGATGCAGCATGTGTCCTGTGCTAAGAACCAGTCTTGACACCCAAACACCACCAGGATCCAGCCCTCCTGGGCTGGGTGGGTGTGACTGAAAGGGGTCCCAGCCCAACTCAGTGAGGTTCCTTCCTGAGCCTCAAGCTCTTTGTCAGCAAATTGGAGGTCACAACACCTGAGGTAGGACCCCCAGAGATGTAGTGAGGACCTTGAGTCAGGGAATAATCCCTGATAACATCATGGCACTATGACTCAGAGGAACAAACCAAGGCTAACACTTGAGGGTGCGGGGAGGAGGGGGCGAGGTGTGTGGCACACAACCCTCAACAAACAGCTATAATACGACAGGCATTGGGGGAGCACCTGGGAAAGCTGCCAGCCAAGGATGAGAGGCAGGAAGAGGAGGGGGTGCTCTGCATGGAAGGTATGGCTGGACCCAGGGGCAAAGGGGGAGAGGCTTGGGACCAGCCCAGGGACCTCTAAGGGGGAAGGCAGTTGGAGACAAGCTAGAGATGGTTGGGATAAAATTTGGCTAACTTGGGAAATTGGGTTCAACTGGCTCCCCATGGGGGAATTAACAAGGTGAGACTAGGCAGAGGGAGAGGGCTGGAGCCACAAAAAGGTGGATTAGGTCTCAAGAGGTGAAGAAGAGGCACTTAATGGTGAGAGCTGCTCAGAGCTTAGCTGCACTGCCTGGGGTGGGGGTGGGAGTGGGGTGGGGGAGGACAAGCTCTCCATCCCTGGACTTCTTCTAGCAGATGCTGCTGGGTGTAATGGTTGCAGATGTCTGAGGTGGGGCTAGGGGTCTTGGAAGCAGAAGGTCAAGTTTTCAGGTCCAGCTGGGTGACCATGGACAAGTCACCTCTCAGATGAGTCTGTTCCATTTGTCTGAGAAATGGGCATGATTATCCACCTCTCCAGTTGATGTCACAAGGATGTCGTAAGCAATGCACTGAGTGACCTCTGGGACCCCTGAGCACCTCCCAATGTGTGGGTATCACTGTGTAGGGTGAGCTGGAGGCTGTCACAACAGTCCAGATGAAAGGTGACCAGGAGCCTGGGGGTGTTGGGAAGGGGAAGGATGGGTTCTGTGGGCCTAGGGTCACTGGGAGAATGACCATGACACTAGTAGAAACTGAAATCCTGACTTCTGAAGGTGATAAGTCTTGCTTTGGGGAATGTTAGTCTCTCTCTCGGTGCCCAGGGCACATACCATACATACCTAGTCCTTCGATTAAGCGGCAGCTGGGAGGTTCTGCTGGGTGCACTAAGTGGGTGATTTTCATCTTTTGTCTGGAAAAAAACCCCACAATTGATTTTCATCTTTTGTCTGGAAAAAACCCCACAATTTCATAGCAGGAAAAAATGAACTCCAGGCACCCATGAAGACCTTAGGAGGCCTCCAGTATGGGTCTCCTCCACCATGCAGGGGTGAACTGACAACAATAAGGGTCAGAGTACCAATGCTTAGCACTGTGCCTGGCACAAAGTAGGTGGTAAATAAATGATGATTCATTAACTGATTTCCTAGCTTGAGGCCTTGGGTGAGTCACTGTCTTACTAAGCCTCAGTTTTTTTATCTGTAAAATAGGGCTAACAGGACTAGTTTCAAGTGGAACCATGAACAGAAGCAGAGTTTGAAACGTCTGTACCCCACACAGATAGGAGCAGTTGAGGTTCCTAAATTAATCAGTGATCAGAGCCAAGCAGTCGATAAGTCACAGGGCAAAGATCTCCTTCCTCTCTAGCCACAGAGATGGTGTTTCAAAACAAGCTCAAAACAAGACCTTTTAAAGGGTCATGGGAAGACAGACCCAGAAACTCCAGTTTTAACTCTTAGCCTCTCTATTTACTTGTATCTGTTTGTTACCCAGCCAGGTACCTATGAATCACTCCCAAGCAGGAACACTGATCAGCCCAGTGCCCATGGATGTCACACATGTGCCCTATGCCCAGGCAAGTGCCCAGCTCTAGTGGCCAGGGGCATCACAGCATGCACCATAGCCAAGCAGGGTCACTTTTCAGCTCTGGTGTGCAGAGATGCCACAGACTTGCACTCTGCCCAGCCTGGGTGCCTCTGGAGTGTCAGGATATGGACTGTGCCAAAGCAAGGCCAATGCCCACATGCTGAGGTTTGCCGGGTTGTCCTCTTCAGCAAGGCTTTCAAAGTTTTCTGATTCTCTTTCTTATTAACAAGAACTTCCACCCACCTGGGACAGCTCATATTCCCACAGGCCAGGAAGCCTTGGGGCCTCGAGGGGGAAGGAAATTGCTTCACTTCTTTCTTCTCTTGTTTAGATAAGAATCTGGGGCCTGAGCACTTGGAGAAAGCTGCTCTGCTCTGGGTCCTGAGGCCAGAGAGTTAAGATCGTGTCCCTCCCCCCAGTCTCAGTCCTGGCTTTTAAAACCCGAAGTGAGGCAAGTTTAAAGGCATCAGCCAGGCTGCCCCTCCGTCTGTCTGTCTCAACCGGGGGTTTTCTCTGTGCTGCTCTCTCTGTGAATGTCTGGGCGTCTTTGGGACGCCCTTATATCTTTCTCTGTATCTCTATGTGTCTGTTTGTATCTGTGTGTGTCTGTTTTTGTGTGGTGCATGTGTGTGCACCCCCTGTGCTTGGAAGGCAGGCTGAGGCTCAGCTAGAAATAGCCAACCCTGTCCCGCGAGGCAGTCCAGGAAAGGCTCCAGGTCCCATTCTTTCCCTACAAGAACCTCAGGCCTTAGACCCTCGGAGAAGCCGGAGGAGTGTGGAGGCAGCCTGGGTCGCGCCCTGGATTAGCAGCTACTTGAGGGGATGGACGGATAGAATGATAGACAGCTCTGTGGCCCTCCCTATCTGTAGGGAGAGCACTCTTGGAAAGGGCAGAGAGGCCCGGCCATAGGCCGTTCCTTTGCCTCTTCCTCTGCCCGGACGCCCCAGTGTCCCGCGGTCCCAGGGCCAGCGCCAGGGGTGGGTCATCCCTCCTTCCTCGGCCCCAGAGCCCCCAGCTCACCTGAAGGCCATGAATCTCTCACCCACGAACGCCAGAGCCAGCCCCAGGACCGTGAGCACCAACAGCTTGGCCATGACCGAGCAGCGCCCGCCTTGGCAGTCAGACGTCCAGGGACCGAGACCAAAAGAAGACGGAGACTGAGGCCAGAGTGAGAGAGAGAGATACTGAACACAGGAAATGGAGCGCGGGGGACGACTGAAAACCAGTTCCCTCCACCTGGCTACAACGGCTGCAATCTCCCCTCCTCAGCCGTATCTACGGGGAGGGGCGAAGGGCTCCGCCCTCCCGCTAGGACCAGTGGATTGAGTGAGGCGCTGGAGCTGCCCGTTTGCCCGTCTGGCTGTCTGGGCCAGCGCCTTTTCAGGGGCGTCCGACTCCCAGGAGGCAGAAAGGCACAGGTCGCGGAGTACCCCTCCTCCCCAGTCGGTGAAGTCAGAGTCAGGTGTGTCTGGGGATAGGGAGGAGAGGATGGGGAGATGCTGGACCCCGACTAACACACTGACAGAGACCGAGACACAGACAGGTGGACACACTGACTCAGAAAAAAAGACTCTGCCTCAAACCCGCATCCCTTGGACCAGATCTCCCCAGGAGTGTTCTTGGGAATCTGAATTGCCATTTTCCCCGCCCCGCTCACAGGCAGTGGACTGGAAGGTTGGCTGCACTTCGAGAGTTGGAAGCTAGCTGGGGGCGGGACGGCGCTAGGGTACCCCAAGTGGTGAAGGAATCACACTGGCAGCCAGACATCCTCGTGGGATAGGAGAGGAAACTATGCCTCGAATATCCAGCCCCCGCCTCTCCTACCCGCCGCTCCTAGGTAAGAGTAACGGGATTTCCAGCCATATGCCCATTTCACGCTGGTGCGTACACACATACAGCGAAAATGAGCGAGAGAGCACAACGCGGCTGCTGTTGGAAATCTGGGCCAGGAAAGACTGCTGGCGGGCCTCGATGGACTGCCAGTGAGCGTAGGCCTGGAGGAGTGAGAATGTTCGAGAGTCTAGAGGAGAGGAAAAAAGGCAAGGAGGCAGAGGCGGAGGCGGAGGGAAAAGATGTTTCCTGCGGTGAGTGGCGACGTTTCCCCATTCGAATGTCCTCATCCCCGCATTTCCTGAGCGACTGCCTACCTACGCGCTCACGGTCCTCTGTGCTGGGCCGAGGATGGCCTCTCAGAGCTCGAATACTGGTCCTGGGACAAGGGAAGGGAATCGAGGAAGGCACCATGGCGGGAAGACAGAGAGAGAAGCAAATGCCAGGAGCAGGAGGAGGAGGAGGAGGAAGAGGAGGAAAAGGGGGTGGGGAGAGGAGGAGGAGGAAGGAGGAGGAGAAGAAGGAAATTTATACTGTTCATATTAATTGATATGATATGCCTAATGAATATACTAATAATTTCGTTTTTTCAAGAGCTGCCTCTCTGGCTCAGGAGTCAGAGCTCACAGTGCAACTGATTCAAACTGAATCAAAACTCTGACAGCGCTCACAATCACTGGACCTAAGTGAAGTGAATCAAAGATTGTAGAACCTGTTCCCATCACAGAACTCTGGTTCTGTACTCTAGGGGAGGTGGTCACGGTCCCCAAAGATGTGACTCCAGACTTGTTGTATTGTAGGATTCGTGGGTTTCTCCTCGGAAACACTAAATGATTGTAATCCACCTTCCCCCTTCCTTCCCCACTTGTGATTTAAGTATATAACCAGTGCTTTTAGTTCAGCTAAGGGAACATTCCTCACTCTGAAATGGATTAATTAAACTACTTGATTACTGACACTCCCTCTCTAGGCCTGCTTCCTGTGGCTCCAAGCATTCTCACGTTAGAGACTGGCTCAGTAAAAATTCTGTGGAGAAAGAGGAGAAAGAGAAGGCGGAGGGTGGCCTCAGCCCTAGAAGAGGCCTGGGGGGGGCGGGGAGACACTGGAGCTAGCCATTCAGGGACATCCAGGATTCTAAGAGGCTGAGATGAGATGGAGAGCTCACCAGACTAAGGGAAGTCCACTCTGCACCTAGTCTGAGAGAGGAAAGATGGAAATTCTGCCCTGAGAGCAGCGAGCAGACAGTTGGCTGGGAGAAGACAGTGCCCTGTAGATTCAGTCTGGACCAATTAAGGTTAACTCGAGCTGAGTGTTGTATGTGCAGGGCAGAGGAGTTTGGAATGGACCCGAGGGGTGCAAGGGAGTGTCGCAGTCAGAGACATGAGTTTCAGGAATATTAATCTGGGCCCCATTGAAGGCTGGATTGGAGAAGCGGGAGAGATCAATCAGGAGCCCAGAGCAGCTGTAGAAGAAGAGGGGATGAGGGTGGGGCCCACTCCTGTGGGGTACCTGTGGGAGGGAGGAGGGGCGAGTGAGAAAGGGATGGAGACAGTTGGGACCAGACTAGGCTACTAATTGGATATGAGGGGAATAAGGGAGGAGAAAAGCTGAGGATGATTCTGAGGTTTCCAATCCAGGTGCTGGAAGGTTGGAGTGGTCCTGGACAGAAATGAGGAAGTGAGGACTAGAGGAGGGCTTGGGAAGAGATGTTGGCTTCTGGGGTGAACATGTTGATTTTGATGATGCAGGTGCAATGGACAATGGGAAGAACTAACGGAGTGAGAAGGAAAAACTGGCAAGTTCAACTCAATAATCACATATTAAGCCCTTATTGTGTGCAAAGCACCAGATAGGTGCTAGGGGTGATGCAGAGTTGAAACGATGAGCCCCAGTAACACTAATTGCTATCATTTATTTAAACCAAGTACCACTTATGTCTAATTACTGAGCACCCTAGTAGCAATTGCGTATCATTAAATAACTGTTAGATTAAGAACAAAAAGACCTCTAGTGATTTGGAACTGTCTACCTCCTGTGGCCACCTGCTCTACCTTGGGAGAGTTGGCAGTTTGTTAGCTGAAATCTGGCTCCCTGTAACAGTGCCCAGGTAAATGAAGTTTTTCTTTTTTCTTTCTCTTTTTTTTTTTAAATCTGATGTTTTATTTTTCAATGTTTAGTATTTACACTATGAAACCAATGGTGGTATGATAAGCAGTGGTAAAGTAACTAAACTTCATAAAGCCAAAGTTTATAATTTTACAATAATGAGCAAATCATAATTATAATATATAAAAAATGAAAACATAGCAGAGCTTTCTGTTACAGAAACCTTAATCATCTGAGCTGTAGTCATTACTCGATAACAATTTACATGCAATACCTGCTAGGATTGACATTTGCTTCCCACCTTCCCCACCCTTTCCCCTCAAAAAAGTGTTAAGTAGATAAATGACATTTAAGAGACAAACATTAACTTACTTGCAGACAAAAGTTTTTTTTTTAAACTGTACTCAAGATCAGTACTAGTCACAAGCCTATTTCCATACATAAATTATACGAATGGGATGATAAATGTCCAAAAGAATAGATGCATAGGCAGAGTACCAGGAATGGCACAGCTCAGTAGCTATTGGGATCAATTATAAACATACATGTATCCATACACACACCTTCTTTCTTCCCCTTAGAAAAGAGGTCAAGGTTCTGACCAAATGGCAATGGTTGAAGCAAGGAGACGTACAGGCACATAACTAACTAAATCTTGAAAAATACTTAGATGGAGAGGAATAGGATCAGGAGAAGGGACCTGTTAATATACGATGCAAACTATATACAGAATATACTGGAATGCATATTTTATCCCAAACCTGCAGTTTGAAACAGCTGGACCTTTAGACACAAACTTTCATTTTGATTTTTAAGTAGTCAACCATAGTATATGTGTACAATAATATTTACATTAGAAGTCAAGGGGGAATTTTACATTAAGTATTTAATGTGCTGTTCTAATTTAAAAATAGCTTTTCTAAGCACACATCTCAACTGGGGTTGATATATAAAATGTCCTAATAGATACAGACATTTACCTTTGGTGAGTTAAAGGCCTTTTTTATGATTTCTGTCTGAATTGTACTGCAGAATGCTAGAAACACACACACATAGGGAACAACTCACGATGAGGTAATCCAAAAGCCGTGCATGTGGGACTGGAGGCACTTTGAAAGCATAGCAAAAACAAACAAAAATTTACGTTGAGAATTGCAAGCAACTTGAGTTTAGCAGTAAATGGAATGCCAATATGGCAGCATTTTTTTTAATAACAGAAATAGGAAGGTGTCTTGCACCTGCAGAATCTTGCAAATGCACAACATACAGGAAAAACCACCTATTGTTTCCATAAAACAAGATCCAATTCATATTGTGAGAAAGTACGAATTACAGAAAACAAGAAGTCAGTAGAAGAGAAACAACATGAAAGAAGAGTCCAACAACAGTTATTTTGTACAGGCTGCAACTACAACCCACAGGACCTCATTTGTGTTGGCCTTCATCCATTTAACTTCTGGGTCTAAATCTAGAAGCTGTCGCACTCTCTTTGTGGCCAAATCATACTGTTCCATCCAGAAGAGGGCCAAAGCGTTCTCCCGGACCGCAGCAGCATGAGCCAGGCAAGCGCTTGTCTGTTCCACGAGGGTCATTCACCCATTCGTCAAGAACAGCTTCTCGGACTTTCTTGATGAGGCCTTGCTTAATGTTGTTGGTGGTGAGTGGATGTGTTGTCATGTCAAAAAGGAGGAAGTTCTGTTTCTCTGTGTCAATACACCTTTTTCCACCAGGTTTTTAGCTAATCTTTCACGAACATTTCTTAACTGGTAGTGCAATTTCAACGGATTCCTTGTCTCACGGCTAAGCAGTTCGATCCAGTTCTGGACTGTTTTTGGAGGCAGAGTTTCCTTAACATGTTTCAAAGCTTCATCAAGTAAAACATCCCTAGTTGGAGCATCTGACTTACAAATCACCTTTCTTGTTGAAAGACTTTTGCGCTTCATTCCACAAGCCTCTAGTTATAGGCGCCCTCTCAGAGCTAATTCCATTAACACACAGCCCCGTAGTCCAGATGATATAGTCATTCCGAAATGATGTGCAGCCCTCTCGGTCCTTGAGGCCCAGCAGCAGCACCTCCTCCATCAGGGTCAGCCGGGTTTCCTTGGAGTCGCCCTTGTCGTCGTCGTCCTGCTCCTCCCGGAGGCTCTTGCTCGTCGCCGCCGCCGCCACCGCCCCCTCTGCTGCCGGCCGCCCGCTCCTTGTCGGCGGAGCTGCGCGAGGCCTTGGTGCGGCGCTGCACCGGACCCGAGCTGCTCTGGGTCAGCGAGGCCATGGCTGCGGCCGGGACCGTGGAGGTCGGGGGCAGCAGCGGGGCTGCGCGGCAGGACGCCTCGGACTGCTTCGTCTCGGCTCTCCGCTAGCCCGCTATGGCCCGCACTGGCTGAGCTTCAAGCGCTGGGGCGAAGTCCGTCTGCGCCGGCGCCTGCGGGAGTCACGGAGGACTGGCCTCGGGGCGGCTCTCTCGGCGGCCGGGGAAGGGGCTCCTGCTCGCGGGGGCGGCGGCCGCAGGAGGCGGGCTGAGCTGGAACGTAAACGGGGTTTTTCAAAGTTACAGTTATCCCTTCGACATGCCTTTCCCCAACTCAGTTTTTATATATCTCAGGTTGACATAAGAAATTGAATGGGAATTTTGAGGGAGCTTTGTGGAAACTGCAGATGACAGGCTAAAGCCATTAGACCACGCAGAAAAAGTTTAGAAATTCAGAAATGCATAAATATATGTATTGTATAATATCAACACAAATTTTACAATAAAGTACTGTAAACACCCCATAAAAGAAAAGAAAAATTCAGACCTTCTCTGGTATGGAGGGCCAGATATTTTCCTGGGGTTCTTCAGCTCTCAGGGTGATCATTGTCATTGTCATCCCACATCACCTTTGCCAATCTGATGGGTGGAGGTGGAACCTCAAGGGTTTGAATTTGCCCTTATTAGTGGTTTAGAGCATTTTTTCTTGTGGTTGTCTCTTTCCATTCTAATGGAATGACATTGAAAGTCTGTGTGATGAACACTGTCCATTTTACATGCTGGGATATTCTCTCTCCTGGTTGGTCATCCTTAAGATAACCTTTTCTTCTCTGTGCAGGCCAGCCTCAGTTTCTCCTGCAGAACCTCATGTATCAATGGACACCAGGCCCTCCAACAGCCTTGCTTGGCCTTCCTAAAAAGGGGTGTCTAGATGGTGGTTCTGGCCATTGCAGAGCACAGAGGGATAATCACCCTTTACCTGGAATTAGGCCTCTCCCAAATCACAGGAGCATTTTGGGGGGCTTTCAGTTCATTAAGAGGCTTTGATCTTGTTCAGATTGCAGTCTAGCCAACCCCTCCCACCCTGCATCCACCAATGCTGTCCTTGTGAAGCTCTTTTTTTTTTTAAATCCATGTCAGGATTTCATTTTCCTCTGTGGCTTTACTCACAAGGGAAAGGGGACAGATCTCTGCCCCACAGGATGGAGCAGGCTTATCCAATGATGCAAATTCTCATTTGTGCCCTGATCCTGACCTGAAGATCTAAGGGCTTGGTGAGAACAAGAAAGAGACAGAGGGAGCCATTGCAGGTGATGCAGGGCTGGACTGGAGGAGACACAGGGCAAATTACCTTCTGAGAAAGTCTGCTGAGATTGGGACTCAGGAGGTGTAACTGACTCAGAACAATCCAGGGAAGACACACAGGTGGCCATGCCTCCTAGGCACACAGGTCAGTCAAGTCCCTGGCCTTGAAGCTTGGCAGATGGTCCCAAAGGGCAGAGCCACAGGGGGGCAGCCTCACACTTAGCAAACTAAGTTATTGTCTCAATTTTGCAGCTGAGACTTTTGGGTTTCCAGGGATATAGGTAGGTAGGTAGGTGTTA